CTGCAATTTCGAGATGACCTAGCAAAAATGTTGACTGATTACCACAATGGCCTCCTTGAGATAGACCGAGACTCTTTCACCCTTTCTGAACCTTGACCTAAAGTTCCCACCGTAAGTCGCTACGATTTTGACTACAGTTTTCGCTGGCAGCAGCAGATTTGAATCTGAATAATTCAAAGCAGTAGTTTCTTCTCGTTTAGATGACATATTTGCCTGTTATGACAATGTTAAAGGAACTACATCGATGAAGAGCTGATACATTTCTGGATATGGATTAGAGATGTTTGAACGCTATATAGAATTGTTTAGTTGTTTTGGATGTATGGAAATAATGGTACTAACTAAAGCAAACACTTGAATATACCGATTCAACTGAAGCAATGCATGTTAATCAAATATGGAAGATCAGTCTCTATCAAGAACCATTTTTGATGTGGAAAACTTAAAAAGTTTGGCAATCTTACTATTTAGACTTGCAATGTTGGACCAAGGTGTTGTTCAACATGGTATTGAAAATAGTCATACGGTATCGTTAACTGACAAATGGCTTTCAACTGATATTGTGCTCAAACGGTTGGAGACTGCCTGGATACATAACTCTTTGGATTACATCTATAAATCTCACATTCGAGGACACGATACAATATTTTTTAACAGTGATAATGGATAATAGCATACCTAGACCTCTTATGATATTACCAATTTTGATTCAGTGGAGGTTATGGAAGTCAAGGAATCTACTTTGCTCACAGAAAGACATCTTGGCTGATATATAAAACCCAACATACTAGGTTGGATGTTGCCAAGTGGATTCTGATCATCACAATTTAAGTTTTTTCCATTTTTTTCATACAAACGGTAAAACAAATTGTGAATAGAAAAGAATACGACATTCCATACTTGCCAAAAAAAATATTCCGTACAAATGTTATTATTTCATTCTAATTTTGACAATCCAGATACAGCCTATACGGAGCCAGCCTTAAAAATATAGAGGTTGAAAACAATTTTAAAAATAAGGCATGTTAATAAATAAAGATATAAGTAATCAAATTATAGAAAGAAATATGGTAATGCTGATTGAGCCCTCACATTTTTTATAATTTAGGCAGCTTTCACCACCAAGCTATTGAAAATTTTACAGCCAAAGTATTAAACAAAATGAAAGCCGGAAGCCCAAGTTTCCTTCTCTTCCGGTCTGGGTTGTCTCTGCCTATATCTATTAAGTTGGTTTCTTTTAAAATTATTTTTTGTTTTCTTACTTTACTTAATTTTGTCTTTACACATTTCCATGCTTAATTGGTTGTTTTTTTTTTTTCATTTTATATAAACAAACTCTATGTGTTTTTTTCCGACTAGAGAACTTATTTGCAGAATCATTGTTTACGTACGGTTTAAGAAACCGTGGACAAGACTGGAACAACCACCAACTATATAAATAAAAATATAAATTTATTAGCTAACATATCAGCTTTTGTGGTAAATAAAATAGCTAACATTATCAGCATATAAATGTTCCCTTCAGAAATTCACACTTGGCGAGGGAAAATATAAAAAACTCTTAAGTTGATTGCTAAAGAAACAGAAATCACTACAAAAAAGGTTAGTTTAAATCATTTATTTTATATATTTGTATTACTTATAAATGATGTAAATACATTTTACATCACTTAGAAAAATGACTTACTTTTTGGTGATGCAAATAATTTGTATCATTTTGTTTAAAAGTAATGTAAAAATAACAAATATTTTCATCAATTATTTTTAAATGATGTTAGTATGTGTCAATTGATAAAAATGATGTTACCATTTACATCGTTTGTTCTAAATGATGTTTGTATTAGTGTCAGTTTAATAAATTGATTGTAATTATTTGCATCATTTATGATTACGTGATGTATAATTAATATCAATTTTTAAAATGATGTTAATGTTAGTATCAGTTAAAAATAAATGATTTTAATTATTTATTTATTAATAAATATAAAATAAAATTGATATCAGTGATTTAGTTATTAATAAATAAGATAATACTGATTTCGCTTTTTAAAGTAGCTTAATAATTATTTGTTTTAATTTAAAATTAATAACGTCAATTATTAAAATATTATTGTTACTTTTAAATGTATAACGTCAATTAAGTCAATAAATTTTATGTCAGAATTTTTTTTGTATTCATAATTTTTTATTGAAAATACAAATACAAAGGAGAAAACAACATTAAAAAGATTTATAAAGAAGTCTCAAGAAATAGTGAATTAAAAGAAAGAAAACATTGTAAAAAAAGCCATGAAAATTCTTCACTCCAGATTTGTTTTCTTTCTTCTTGTATATTTCCATCTTCCCTTAGACTCTTATATCTGGACGCTCCTCATCAGCCATTTTCCTGAAGAATACATCAACACCTGACCAAAATTAAGTTTCTCCTCCAATGCCTATAGCTTCTGTTGAAGTCATTAGTATAAAAGGCCAGAAGAGAATGAATACATATAAAATATTTAACCCAAAAACAAAAGAATCAAAAGAAGAAGAAAAGCAGAAAGAAAAAATAATACCTTTTAAAAGATTACCATCAAATTCATTGGAAACAGAAGCGTCATCATCATATAAGAAACAAAATAGTTCAAGCCAATCGCATGCTAATGGGACGATTACTCACATAAGAAATAAATTTTGATGGTTTGTTAATTATTGGTGTTTAATAACAAGTAAACTGTTAAAAAGAAGTCTAAGTAGAGAGAAGGAGACAAAGTGGAGAATCTAGATCATATAAAAAGAATATGCTTTGTGGATAAAAACTGCTTAGAACAAAATTTAGTTAAATTAGAGCCACAATAATGTAGTTAAAGCAACAAAATCCTAACTTCATCGTAATAGTTGGTTTCAAAAACAAATTAGACTAGGTTAATATGTTTTAAATGATGCAAATTAAGATAAAATAAGGTCAGTTTATTAAATTGACGCTAAAATAAAATACACTTACAAACTTTTTAAATTAGAATTAGTATTTATTGATCTATGTTTTATATCAATTTTGTAAGTGATGTTAACTAAAAAAAACTAACGCATCAATTGTGTGATTGATATAAATATGTAACACTATCAATTATGTTAAAATGATGCAAACTAATAAAAAATATATCACTTTATCAAAATGATGCTAAATAAATAAATAATACATCACTTATTATAGTTGATGCTAAACCATATATATTTTTCTCATTTACGTATAAGTAATTTAAAATAGAATCGTTTAATTTTGTGATACAGTTTAAGTGATTCAATCTAACACATTTTTTTGTAGTGAATTTCTTCTGAAAATTCTAAGTTTATACTACAATATGAACAATCAACAAATTATAATAATGAAAGACCATCAACTATCAACATGTTGTATATTCTAAATCAAACAAGCATCCACATGAATACATATTTGTGCAACTATTACATTAGAGATGATCTAATGTATTCTCCTATTTTTTATCTTTAAAATAGAAAAACTCTATAATAGATATGAGTTTTGTTCCAATGTATATCTCTAAATAAAGTTTTCCAAATATAGAATAAAATATTTAGAAATGTTATACAATTCTCTATAAATAGAGTCAAATATATCAATTTATATTTTAGAGATAAAAATAGAGAAAAACTGGAGTGATTTTGTCTATAAATGATATTATATAGAGACAAAAAAATAGAGTTGGATTGTTGGATTGTAAATGTATTTAATCACATATTTGTGTTTATTAAACAAATACTTGTGCAGATGCACATACAACCTTAGTTTTCATTAAAAGACAAAAGATCATCCTGACACTGCTTTGTAGATATAAAGATATAAATAATTATTTTTTTTAAAAAAAATTTCTAGTTTGCGAATTATATATTTTTAAATTCGAACGCTTTTGTCTCATTTTTTATTTTTTTCAAAATTTTATTTTGAAATTAAAAAAAGAATTCAAAACTATTTTTAAAATTTTTATTTTAAATATCTATTTATTTATTTAAAATCCTAAACCTAAGCTCCAAAACTCTATCCCTCAAATCTATACCCTAAATCTATAATAGTTAACTGTAGGAATATAAATGTATTTTACTCTTTAAAACTAAGAATAAATGTAGTTAAAGTAAACATGAAAAATCTAATAGGAATGTGATAGTTTAAGAAATTTTAAGAAATTAATTGATATATGACTTAGAAACTTATATGGATCAAACAGAAAAATATAATTTTTATTCTCCAACTATGTGCAATCAACATATTTAATATATATATATATATATAAGTATTCTTCATTTTAAATTATTCTCAAACAAATTATTAATAATTCAAAATTTTACTTAAAATAGTCAACCGTTAAAAAGTTGACGAAAATCGTTAATTTTTAATATATGCATTAATAGTTAGCTATCTCATTTTAACTTTAATTTGGGCAGTTAACAGTTTATTCACATAATTTTGCGTAATAATAAATAAATAATAAATATATCTTTTATATTAAAAAGCTATCCTATTAATCCAATAAGAAATTGCCTGAAAGTTTAGATACTAAATGTATCAACTGTAAATAGCTGAGAAACAAAATACTCATTTCCCATCACTTTTTGTTTTGAATTTTAATGGCCCTTTCTCATCAGTCATCTTCATTTCTAATATCAGTCTTCATTTCTCATAAGTCATAACTAATACACATAAATATTTTTAAACTAAGGAGGAATTGAGAGAAGGGTCTACAAACTTTCAAAACTAATCTAAAAGCCATGACCATCAAATTTTCAGTTTCCAAATTTTTTGGGGTCTCCTGATCTCAATCTCAATGCCTCAAATGTTCACACAGTAAGTATCTACGATCCACCAAACCGGAAACATCTCTGATACAGTCCCATCACTCATATTAAAAGAAAAATCAAACAGATACAGAATCATACAAAATACGCTAACCAGTTAACCCAATCTCAATCCGGTTCATACAAACAGGTTTGTTTATTTACGTTTTGTATCAACAAACTCGGCTACGAGAACGGCCACAATGGAGAAAGATCTCTGTAGGTTCCAAGCAGGTACGTAGCGAGTCATGACCAAGCTGTGTTCTTTCATTATCTCCAAAACCGAAAATTCGTCCACCTTCAGTGACCACAATGGTGTGATACAAACCAGTGCTAACTTGAGAGACACGGTGTGGCTTCAGACTCTCCAACACTCTTGGCCTCAAGACCTTGTCTGAAACTCCTCTGTCCGGGAAACCTAAGCTTCCAAATCCCATCCACCCAAACCCATACAACACTCCACCTTCCACTAACACAAAGGTCTTCCTCTTTCTTGCACAGACTTGGACAGCAAGGCAGTTGTTGAGACTGACTAAAACCTGAGGAATAATCTTGTCGTTTTCATCTCCATGACCTAGAGCACCGCAGTAACCTTTACCCCATGTGTATACCTAACCGTTTTAAAACAACAATCAGAAACAAAGACTCTTCTGATTTCTCAAAACAAGATTCTTCTAACAAAAAACTTACACGGCCATTAGAGTCAAGTGCCACGGCATGTTCATCCCCTGCAGAGACACGGAGAATATGAATACCTTTTCTTTTAAAAGCCTGAACAACACGCGGCTGATGCTCGTCTTGTTGCTCTCCATGACCAAGACAGAAGCTAGAACCAGAGCCAAAGGAGTAAACCGAACCATCCTGTGTCACAGCAAGAACATAGCTCGGTCCAGTTGCAATTTGCACCACAGGGCCAGTGCTTTGAAAAAATTCAACAGGTTTGGGTACTGGACTGTCCAAGGTATCGCCATGACCAAGCTGTCCATGTGTGTTTGAACCACATGTGAACACACTCCCTTCCCTTGATAGAAACACAGTGAAGTGCAGCCCCGCAGCAACCTGGTACAGAAGATGAGCTTGTCACTGTTTCCTTAATTTAGAATTATCATTTGGTTTTAGATAGAGTTGGTATCAGTTTTACCTGCTTACAAGGAGTTCCCTTCAAGGCCTCAACAAGCTTAGGCCTAAATATTGGACGGCTAATATCTAAGTGACCACAGCAATGCGATGAATTATCCCCACATGTAAGAACCTCTCCAGATTGCAACACGAAAGCAGAATGGTTCTGTGTTGCTGAGACCTGAGCAACTTTAGCAGAGAAAGGAAACTCTATAGGAGTAAATGCTACACATTGAGTAGTTTCTGGACCATGAGCAAGCACACCAGACAAACTAGAACCACAAGAGTAAACCTTTGAGTTGTTTATTAGCAACGTGTGATACCTTCCCGTTGTAACTTGCATCTGCAGAAACAAATGCATTTGTAACTTCTAAAACCAAATCAATCCTAGAGTTCCCTATACCAAAAAACAGCCATAAACACTAACAGCTACATTCCTCTCCTAAACTCCTTACTACTATGTTCTTCATAGCATTCTCTACCTAAGACCACTTACTAAATGAAAAATTCACCTATTGAAAAGCAAATAGAGAAGCAAAATGAAAACCATACATTGCCTGCATAGGTTTGAACCATATCTGAAGACATCTCAACAGACTGCAAGAACCTCAAAACCCTCTTCCAGTTCCCCTCACAATTCGCAAAGAGCTCCTTCTGTGTAGCTAAACCCATTCCCATGTAAACAGGATGTACAGAGCAAAGCTGAGACGCGGCGTAATCAGCTAGTGACCTGAACTTCAAAGGGTACAACACTCCAGAGCTTCCTCCAAACACCTTAGAGGTTAATTCAAGGTTGAGTAGATCAACAGCGTTAAGCCGGCCAGAGGTTAACACCTCCAAGATCAAATGAGAAGGAAGATCCTCTAACCAGTTCCTCTCAGCCATTTTTGGTAAGAACAGAGTTTTCAAACGAGGTAATGGGAATGTAAAGGATGGTACTTTGTGTTGGCTTTGGAGTTACAAAGAGGGTGAAAGGTTTAGACTTTAGGGGTCAGATTTTGAGGCGAAATGTAATCTTCGTGATTCACCTGAACCCAAAACAGAGAAACACGCAAGCAATCAACCAAACCAAAAAAAGGAAGAAACTTTCGATCGAATACAAAAAAAAACAGAGGAGTATAAGAAGAAACAGAGCGTTGAGTAATGTTGAATGCGTGACAGCTAACCTAGAAAGCAAAAGCTCTTGACTTTATAGGTGACGATACTTAGCCACTTATGAAACCAAAAAAGTCTAAAACAGAGTTCTTTTTTTTTATATAAGAAAATGGTGGAAGACGTGTGAAGAGGAATATTTAAAAAAAAAAAAGGATTAGGAAGAAATCAATATCTTGCTTCTTAAGCTTTCTTTTTCTTTTGTGGCGATTCTTCCTCTCTGTCATAGAACTAGTTCGCTGAATATTTCTAGAGGCTTTACTTAGTCGTCCGTCTTCACACTGTTTTGTCTATTAAAATTATTTTACTTTTTTGGGATTTGCCACCATTTTTTTGTTTTTATTAGCTAGTTAATAATGAGATTATACAATTTCAAAGATTATGTTTATTAAAATATTATTAGTTAAAATTTATGGAAAATGATAGTCATAGTAAATAATACATTATATTTTTTCTAAATTAATGTGTAAAAACCTAATAAAAATTAGAAAGAATCTCTAAATTTATATATCAATACTAAAGTATTCTATAATTGTATTATATTTATTTATTTTTATTAATATAGCTCTATTAATCTTTCTATTAATTAAACCCACGACCATAATCACTCTTTATTTATTTTTTGAAGAAAATAACACACTATAATACAAGCTTGGGCCTATTAAAACTCATTGTCAAAGATACATCCATGAAAATGCAAAATACAGTTCCAGTTTCCTGCTTCTTTACATAATATACTAATTCTTAGCTTCACTTATTCAGAACTATATTTGGGTAAAGTTGGATTATTCAACTTAACGTGAAGCTTTTACCAAACCAAAATATACTTTTAAATCTCATTGTCACTGATCTTATCAGACACTTTGTGTGTTTCCATGGACACAAAGTTTATTCATGCATCTCATTTGACATGGGTGCAAGAGCTTCAGTCATGGTTCCTTTATCTAACATGTGTTTGTCTTGTCCTCTAACGTAAGGAGGACAATGTGGACAGTTTGGTTGTTGATATATTGGTTTAGGGTAGTATGGCACGCTTGGGGTGCACCCACCGGTTTGGCATCCACCAGAACCATATCCAGGAACCGTCACTCCCGGGATCACAAAACCGGGAATATTGGTTCCTGGTACAGTTATGGGAGGGATTGTTGTGCCTGGTACATTTATTGGAGGGACAACTACACTAGGTACACCACTAGACCCACTTCCTCCTATACCAATACCAATCCCTTCCCCTGAACCACTTCCTCTTCCAATGCCTTCACCGAATCCACTACCTTGGCCTCCATTGACAGGACCACAGTTAGGTTGGCCATAACCGGATCCTCTCCCTTCTCCAATGCCAACACCTGAACCACCACCATAGCCAATCCCTTCTCCAAAGCCACTGCCCCCACTAGAACCAATCCCTTCTCCAAAACCACTGCCTCCACTAGAG